ATTTTCAATGGTTTCGTGCGGAAAATTGGTCCACAAATACAACTAAAATTTGAGAAGTGGGATTATGGTCTGCAGAGAAACAAAAGCAAAATGGTTCCCAATTTAAAGTAGGTGGTTCTTTGTGTAGGATTTTTTTTGGGTACGGAATAGTAGTCGAGAGCAAAACTTATCAAATAATAAAGCGGTTTCCAAAGTTCCAAAATCTTTCAAGCTCTTTCCAAATACTTCTAAGGTTTTCTAGTGCCTTCTATGATATTTCAGTATCTTTTTACTGTCTTACTTCAGATCTATCCATTCGCGTTACATACTTCTAAGTCCCCTTGATAGTTTTAGGCAATTTGCTGCACAGCACAACCTTAGAGACCATCTTTAGAATTTCCAGAGTCTTTCAGCGCCTTGAAGAATATATGGACTACGCCCAGCTGGCGCTTTTTGGAGCCTCCTTCAGACTTTTCAAATGGTTTCCAGAAACCTGCAGATGTTTTCCAGAGATTACTGTAACTTGTTTAAAGTTTTATGGATTTGTTCAATAGCTTTCTTCTGAACCCTTCCTAGAACCACCTAAGGTTGTTTATCCAGTGTCTTCTACTGCTTTTCAGACTCCTCGTCTATCATCTTCCAGAGGATCTTCAATGCACTTTTGGCCTAGGTAGCGTTTTTCATAGCTTTCGTTGGGTTTGCCAGAAACTTTTTATGGCATTTTAGGTAAATTATCGAAGGGTGAAGTTTTCTTGCAGAGATGCCTGCCGCTTTGCAAACAATGCCAAATTTAGTGCCCTCTTCTAGACTCTAGAATTTTCCCGAGTGCTTTTGGGTCCCCAGATCCTTATATGGGTATCTTTGACCCATAACATTTATAGCTCATACCAGAACTACATTGGTAGAATGTTTTCCTACGCATTTTGGAGAGCTTTATAGACGCTTTGGAGTGCCTGCAACCACCTTCCAGAGTTTGCATAGCTTTATACGCCCTGTTGCACAGATTTCTGGAATTGTGTAAAGACTTCTTAGGGATTTATGGAGTTTTTCTTTTCCACAGGATTCTGGGCACTTGTAAGAGTGCATTATTCAGACTTCATAGCGCTTTCTAGAACCTTTCAATGATTTTAGAGGAGACTCTAACACCTTCCATAACTTTTTAGCGCTTGTCCAGAATCTTTTTCCCGAACCCCGATGTACAACTTTCTTCTACACACTTTCTAAAGTTTTTAACGTCTTTCATAACATTGTAAATTGTCTTCCGGTACTTTCTACGGCATTTCGGAGATTTCTACTTATGTTGATTTTGAAGAGCCTTTTCCAGGGCGTTTTAACCGCTTTCCAGGGTTTTTGATCGCTGTCTAGCTAGAGCCTTCTATCACTTTTAAGAGTATATTGTAGTCGCCTATGGGCTTCCAGGGTAAATTAAGTAATCCAATATTAGATTGTCTGCCGGTTACAATACTTTTGCTCCCGAAACAAGTCCTTTTAATAACTACCCGTTTTTTACGGCCTAATTCTGCTTGCTCGCGAATGGCACCTAGAGCTAAACGAAAAACCGCTCCCCGTTGCTTGAGTTCCCAGGCTTAAAGCTCGTTGGCCGGCAATTTTTTCATGTAACGATCTCTTTCAGGCGTTCGGAAATCACGATTTCGACTACGGCGTGGCGGGTTTAGTGCCATTTTTAAACGCCGTTAATTTTCCAATAGTCGCCGCCAATTTGAATTTCGAAAACGAGCCCCAACTACTCGCGATAAACGTTACAAGGTCGCACGTGCTGCTCGTATCGGGGGTAAAAATCGGCGTAATCGGATATTTGACCCCCGAGACTGCGGACCAATCCAGTCCGGAGAATGTGATCTTCTACAACGAGATCGATAGCGTTCGGGAGGAGAGCGAACGGTTGAGTAAGGAGGGGGTGAAGATCATAATGGCTTTGGGGCATTCCGGTTATGAAGTTGATCAAAAGGTGGCTCGCGAGGTGCCTCTAGTTGATGTGGTGGTCGGAGGGCACACAAACACTTTTTTGTGGAATGGGCCGCAGCCCGACTTGGAAGAAGTTGGCGGGCCTTACCCTACCATAGTCGAACAAGATAGTGGTAAACAGGTGCCTGTGGTACAAGCGTTCGCATACACTAAGTACATGGGGCGGCTGCACCTCGAATTTGACCCAGAGGGAGATTTAGTAGCGTATGGTGGGGAACCTCAGCTGATGAATCGGACCGTGCCCCAAGATCCATCAGCTTTGGATCTTTTGGAGAGATATCGGCCCGCGGTTGACGCTCTTAGAACCGAAATTGTCGGGAGAAGCGTGGCGGATTTAAGTGGGAGCGTGACACAGTGCAGGCTACACGAGTGCAACTTTGCCAATTTCGTGACGGATGCCTTAATTCACAATCACGTGTCCTCGTATCAGGGTGAGTACTGGACGGATGCGCCAATCGCTTTGATAAACGCGGGCACTATCCGAAAGGGAATCAGAAGGAAACGAGAGGGGTCCGTGAGCAAATCAGATATATACGGCGCCATACCCCTTGAGGAACCACTATATTCCATGTACCTGACCGGAACGGAACTAATCGACACTTTGGAGATTGGAGTAAGGGGAAAGGGGGATGCATCAAGCGGGGAAATCATTCACGGATCCGGCCTGTTCTACAAGTACGACTTGGGAAAGCAGGTGGGCTCGCGGGTTTCCGACGTAAAAATCCGGTGCGGTTCTTGCAAGGTACCCACGTTTGGCAACATCTCACCCAACTCAACCTACAGGATAGTTACAACTGCATTTTTGACTAAAGGGGGTGACGGCCATACGGTATTGAGAGACAAGGGGCGAAACAAGACCTTGGAAGCGGCAAGCAACTGGGAGGCTATTATTCGGTTTTTCGAGAAAACGAGCCCAATTTATCCGCAGGAGGAAGGTCGTGTGGTTTTGGTTGTAGGTTCCACAAGTACTGCCAGTTCCCTTGGGAGCGCAATTTGTATCTTTGCTACTTTGTACCTGATTTTAGTTTGAACTTTGAATTGTTAACTTATTTATTATCTAAATATATAGAAGTGTTCAATTTGTTCAAAATGTTACAGGAAAACGACAGAGAAAAGGTAAGTTAGGGTTTAGGGGGTGGAGGGATTTGACTAAAACAAAAACGATCTAACAGAAGTCGCACACATTCTTCCATCACACCATGGTTAACGTCTTATCGCCGAGATAGCAATGCTGGCAACCTCTTAAAATGATCAATCGGTTATGCGGATTTTCGGTTATTCGAATAACCGGTTAATCACAATGGGAGAAAGAAAATGTAAAATTAATTGCCAGAGTAGCTAATTAGCTAACACTTCGCCCACTATAAAATAAAGACAATTAAACAAAATCGTTTTTTTTCTCGGTATAATGTACTAATAACGAAAAATATAAAACCAAAAATTATTAAATCACGGTAACACTTACGCAATAAAGTGTAAAATTATTTGGGACACATTTTGTTCGATATTATGGTCTCCTAATACAAAATATTCGTTTAAAAATTATTGGATCGGGATAAGGCAATCGGAAAACGTGTAAAATTAATTGCGAAACCTGGTATGGTATTATGTTCTCCTGGTACAAAGTTCTCTTTTGGAAAACGAACCAGAATATCAGAAATCCATGTAATTATTACACCTAGATTAAATATTTTCTTTTAAAAAATCTTGTATCAGGAACACGAAAAGAGGTAGAATTAATTATGAGGTAATTTTCTGGGACTGTTTCGTTATAGAGTTTTCTTTTGCTAATTTCCTATCAGGACCACAAGGTGTAAAATTAGTTGGGGGGCATTTTTTGTGGTATTACATCCTTGGCCTTGCATTAGCGATGGCGATTCGATTTCGATTTCGATTCGAAGCGGCGATTAATATATGAAAATCGCCGTTACTAACAGATTTGTAAATGGGATTTTCAAAATTAGATTTTTGTGAATTATCCAGCTCGATAGGAATAGTTATGTTAGTGCATACCGTACGGAAATATATGTTTTTTTTAAATTTGTTGAATCAGGACAACAGAAACGCAAGAAGTTGCAAAACTATGCTTTTCTGGTGAAAATGTATTGAAAAAGCATATTATGAACTTTAAATAGTGAAAAATATTATGTTCTCCTGATAACACATCGTTCTATTATAAATTGTTTGACGGATATAATATCAAGCAAAAGATGTGTTTCCTGATACAAAATTCTATTTAAAAGATATTTGGACTAGGATAACAAAAACCTTCTTGAGGTGTAAAGTGGCACATCCTTAATAGTTACTTTTTCTCTGAATCATTATCATGTTTCCTTGCTACCAAATTTGATTTGAAAAATTGTTGAATTTGGGTAAAAGGTGTGCAAAAAAAGTGAGAGACACTTTCTTCCCATATCATGTTCTCCTGATAGAACATTCTATAAATTGTTGGATCGAGATAGCAGAAACTTAAGACCGTGTCAAATTAATTGGGACACACTTTTCTAGTATAACGTTTTTCTGTTACCTACTGTTAGTTCCTGATCCAAATATCTTTTATGAAGCTCATAGAAACAATTTCTTCAGGTATCACCTTCTGTTATTTTTTATCAGGATCATAGAAAAGTAAGGTGTGAGATACTTTTTGTGGTACTGGTTTGAAAATCTCATTTAAAACTTTGTTACAGATCGCAAAAATATGTAAAACCAATTTGCAAGTCACTTCTAGCATTATATCCTTCAGGTATCAAAATCTTTTCTTGCATTCCTGCATAAGAGTAACAGTGACACTTTTCTCTTGTAACATTCTGCATTATAAATTATTAGCTGGAGAAGAGAGCGGTGTAAAATTAATGTCGAGACCTTTTTCTGTTATTATGTTCTCCTGACATTTTTAACTCAGTGGTCAGGATCGTATGTTAACCCACTGTATCTATCTAACTTTTCTCTGCTAAACCTTTCTCACACTTCCTCTCTAACAGACTGTTGGGAGTAAAATAGTGACCAAAATCTCAACCCAGACTTTTTCTTTATAGTCACTTGGAAATCACGAATTTGACTACGGCGTACCCGGACTACTTCCCTTCTTGCACGCCGTTAATTTTCCAATAGTCGCGGCGAACCTCGACTTTTCCAAGGAACCCGAGCTGCGAGCGACGAATATAACGAAATCGCACGTCCTTGAAATTTCGGGTCGCAAGATCGGGGTGATAGGCTACCTGCTGCCCGAATCCAAAGAGCTGGCCGATACCGAGGATGTGATTTTTATTGACGAGGCCGTTGCGATCAGGGAGGAGAGCCAGCGGTTGCAGCGCGAGGGAGTGAACGTAATCATAGCTCTGGGTCACTCCGGATTTAAGAAGGACCTGGCGATCGCGAAAGAAGTGCCTTTAGTTGACGTGGTGGTAGGAGGTCACACTGACACGTTCCTTTGGAACGGAGCGCAGCCCGACTTGGAGGTTCCGGAAGGGCCGTATCCGACGATCGTCAAGCAAAGATCGGGAAAACAGGTGCTGGTGGTGCAGCCGTATTCTTTCACCAAGTACATTGGTCGTTTAAACGTGGAGTTCGACGAGAATGGAGACGTAGTGGGTTACAGTGGCCAGCCGCAGCTTCTCAGCTCGACAGTTCAGCAGGAGCAAGACGCGCTAGATTTGCTAGAAAAGTATCGACCGGATGTTCGTAAGTTGGAAGAAGAAATTTTGGGACGCGCCAAAGTGTTTTTGGACGGCACCCCCGAGAGTTGCAGACGAAAAGAATGCAACCTGGGCAATTTGGTCACGGACGCTTTCGTAGCGTATCACGTTGAGCATTACGCTGGTAGGTATTGGACGGATGCGCCCATTGGAATATACAACGCCGGCGCCATTCGCAACAATATCGAGCCTGTCAACGATACCATTCGTGGGGGTGATTTACTTTCCGCCTTCCCTTACAACGACCTTGTCTATTCCATGACCTTAAGCGGCGCTGACTTACTCAACACGTTGGAGCTGGGCGTCCGAAGCGATGGGGAGACGAGCTATGGCGAGTTTCTGCAGGTGTCTGGAATTCGGTACAGTTTCGACTTGACAAAACCAGTCGGATCGAGGATTACTCAGGCGAAAGCTCGCTGTGCCGCTTGCAGCGTTCCCACTTATTCCCCCATCAGTCGGACTAAGGCGTACAGGATTATAACCAGAGAGTTCATTGCTAACGGAGGGGACGGACACACCATTCTGAAGGAGAAGGGGTACAACAAGACCGTGGAAAAACTAAACGAATTTGAAATCCTACGTTGGTACATCAAGAAAAGCCCTACGATCTTTATAGGAGAAGAGGAACGCATCGCTAGGGAAGGCAAAAGTTTCGCTGACGCTCGGATACCAAGCGCCGCTCTGTTGATACTTTCCATCGCGTCGCTGTGGTGGGTGGTTTAGCACAAATCCAATGTTACTTAACCTAAACGCATTAAAAAGTTGTTCCATTAAATTACTAACTAGCTGTACTAACTGTTCCCTGTTAACATCTTCTTTGAAGGCTGCAGTTAAGGAAGAGAAGGCAACATGCCAACTCTTAACTGGTGCACTAATTTTATTTCTCGGGTTACTGATGGATTATTCAAAGATCTACCAACAGGAGACGACTCCCAATCAAATTTGCCCTGCAGAATTCAAAAAATGTATAACCACAAGATATGGTCTCAAGAAACAAAGATAGAACCATCAATTCAAAGATAATGTAACACGAAGGCAACGTAGTGCCTTTAAAATTCAGCCAAGGCAGAAGTTGTTACCAATAGGACACGATTTCCAATAAATATTGGCGTGCAGAATTCAAAAATAATCATCATTAAGATTTGACCACATGATACAAAGATAGGGCCATCAATTCAAAGAGTATGTGACGCTAAGACTATTACGTTACCTTTAAAATTGAGCAAAGACAGAGGTTACGGCGCAGATATACCAACAGGGGCTGATTCCTAATGCATTTTGACCTTCAGAATTCAAAAAATGTATAACCGTCCTGATTTGACTACAAGAAACAAAGATAGAGCCATCAGTTCAAGGAGTATGAAATGCTAAGACCATTATGTTGCCTTAAAAATTTAGCAAAGACAGAGGTTGCGACAGATCTACCAACATGAGACGATTCCTAATGCATTTTGACCTTCAGATTTCAAAAAATTTATAACCGTCCTGATTTGACTACAACAAACAAAGATAGAGCCATCAATTCAAGGAGTATGAAATGCTAAGACCATTACGTTGCTTTAAAAATTTAGCAAAGACAGAGGTTGCGGAAGATCCACCAACATGAGACGATTCCTAATCCATTTTGACCTTCAGAATTCAAAAAATGTATAACCGTCCTGATTTGACTACAAGAAACAAAGATAGAGCTATCAATTCAAGAAGTATGAAATACTAAGACCATTACGTTGCCTTAAAAATTTAGCAAAGACAGAGGTTGCGGCAGATCTACCAACATGAGACGATTCCTAATGCATTTTGACCTTCAGATTTCAAAAAATGTATAACCGTCCTGATTTGACTACAAGAAACAAAGATAGAGCTATCAATTCAAGAAGTATGAAATACTAAGACCATTACGTTGCCTTAAAAATTTAGCAAAGACAGAGGTTGCGGCAGATCCACCAACATGAGACGATTCCTAATGCATTTTGACCTTCAGAATTCAAAAAATGTATAACCGTCCTGATTTCACTACAAGAATCAAAGATAGAGCCATCAATTCAAGGAGTATGAAATGCTAAGACCATTACGTTGCCTTAAAAATTTAGCAAAGACAGAGGTTGCGGCAGATCTACCAACATGAGACGATTCCTAATGCATTTTGACCTTCAGAATTCAAAAAATGTATAACCGTCCAGATTTGACTACAAGAAACAAAGATAGAGCCATCAATTCAAGGAGTATGAAATGCTAAGACCATTACGTTGCCTTAAAAATTTAGCAAAGACAGAGGTTGCGGCAGATCTACCAACATGAGACGATTCCTAATGCATTTTGACCTTCAGAATTCAAAAAATGTATAACCGTCCTGATTTGACTACAAGAAACAAAGATAGAGCCATCAATTCAAGGAGTATGAAATGCTAAGACCATTACGTTGCCTTAAAAATTTAGCAAAGACAGAGGTTGCGGCAGATCTACCAACATGAGACGATTCCTAATGCATTTTGACCTTCAGAATTCAAAAAATGTATAACCGTCCTGATTTGACTACAAGAAACAAAGATAGAGCTATCAATTCAAGAAGTATGAAATACTAAGACCATTACGTTGCCTTAAAAATTTAGCAAAGACAGAGGTTGCGGCAGATCCACCAACATGAGACGATTCCTAATGCATTTTGACCTTCAGATTTCAAAAAATGTATAACCGTCCTGATTTGACTACAAGAAACAAAGATAGAGCTATCAATTCAAGAAGTATGAAATACTAAGACCATTACGTTGCCTTAAAAATTTAGCAAAGACAGAGGTTGCGGCAGATCCACCAACATGAGACGATTCCTAATGCATTTTGACCTTCAGAATTCAAAAAATGTATAACCGTCCAGATTTGACTACAAGAATCAAAGATAGAGCCATCAATTCAAGGAGTATGAAATGCTAAGACCATTACGTTGCCTTAAAAATTTAGCAAAGACAGAGGTTGCGACAGATCTACCAACATGAGACGATTCCTAATGCATTTTGACCTTCAGATTTCAAAAAATGTATAACCGTCCTGATTTGACTACAAGAAACAAAGATAGAGCTATCAATTCAAGAAGTATGAAATACTAAGACCATTACGTTGCCTTAAAAATTTAGCAAAGACAGAGGTTGCGGCAGATCTACCAACATGAGACGATTCCTAATGCATTTTGACCTTCAGAATTCAAAAAATGTATAACCGTCCTGATTTGACTACAAGAAACAAAGATAGAGCTATCAATTCAAGAAGTATGAAATACTAAGACCATTACGTTGCCTTAAAAATTTAGCAAAGACAGAGGTTGCGGCAGATCCACCAACATGAGACGATTCCTAATGCATTTTGACCTTCAGAATTCAAAAAATGTATAACCGTCCAGATTTGACTACAAGAATCAAAGATAGAGCCATCATTCAAGGAGTATGAAATGCTAAGACCATTATGTTGCCTTAAAAATTTAGCAAAGACAGAGGTTGCGACAGATCTACCAACATGAGACGATTCCTAATGCATTTTGACCTTCAGAATTCAAAAAATGTATAACCGTCCTGATTTGACTACAAGAAACAAAGATAGAGCTATCAATTCAAGAAGTATGAAATACTAAGACCATTACGTTGCCTTAAAAATTTAGCAAAGACAGAGGTTGCGGCAGATCTACCAACATGAGACGATTCCTAATGCATTTTGACCTTCAGATTCAAAAAATGTATAACCGTCCTGATTTCACTACAAGAAACAAAGATAGAGCTATCAATTCAAGAAGTATGAAATACTGAGACCATTACGTTGCCTTAAAAATTTAGCAAAGACAGAGGTTGCGGCAGATCCACCAACATGAGACGATTCCTAATGCATTTTGACCTTCAGAATTCAAAAAATGTATAACCGTCCTGATTTCACTACAAGAAACAAAGATAGAGCCATCAGTTCAAGGAGTATGAAATGCTAAGACCTTTACGTTGCCTTAAAAATTTAGCAAAGACAGAGGTTGCGACAGATCTACCAACATGAGATGATTCCTAATGCATTTTGACCTACAGAATTCAAAAAATGTACCTATAACCGTCCAGATTTGACTACAAGAAACAAAGATAAAGCCATCAATTCAAGGAGTTTGAAATGCCAAGACCTTTACGTTGCCTTAAAAATTTAGCAAAGACAGAGGTTGCGGCAGATCTATCAACAAGGGCCGATTCCTAATGCATTTTGACCTTCAAAATTAAAAAAAAATGTATAACAGTCCAGATTTCACTACAAGAATCAAAGATAGAGCCATCAATTCAAGGAGTATGAAATGCTAAGACCATTACGTTGCCTTAAAAATTTAGCAACGACAGAAGTTGCGGCAGATGTTGCAACAGGGGCCGATACCCAATGCATTTTGACCTTCAGAATTCAAAAAATGTATAACCGTCCAGATTTGACTACAAGAAACAAAGATAGAGCGATCAATTCAAGAAGTATGAAATGCTAAGACCATTACGTTACCTTTAAAATTTAGCAAAGACAGAGGTTGCGGCAGATCTATCAACAGGGGCCGATTCCTAATGCATTTTGACCTTCAGAATTCAAAAAAGGTATAACCGTCCAGATTTGACTACAAGAAACAAAGATAGAGCCAACAATTCAAGGAGTTTGAAATGCCAAGACCATTACGTTGCCTTAAAAATTTAGCAAAGACAGAGGTTGCGGCAGATCTACCAACATGAGACGATTCCTAATGCATTTTGACCTTCAGAATTCAAAAAATGTATAACCGTCCTGATTTCACTACAAGAAACAAAGATAGAGCCATCAGTTCAAGGAGTATGAAATGCTAAGACCTTTACGTTGCCTTAAAAATTTAGCAAAGACAGAGGTTGCGACAGATCTACCAACATGAGATGATTCCTAATGCATTTTGACCTACAGAATTCAAAAAATGTACCTATAACCGTCCAGATTTGACTACAAGAAACAAAGATAAAGCCATCAATTCAAGGAGTTTGAAATGCCAAGACCTTTACGTTGCCTTAAAAATTTAGCAAAGACAGAGGTTGCGGCAGATCTATCAACAAGGGCCGATTCCTAATGCATTTTGACCTTCAAAATTAAAAAAAAATGTATAACAGTCCAGATTTGACTACAAGAAACAAAGATGGCGCCATCAATTCAAGGAGTATGAAATGCTAAGACCATTACGTTGCCTTAAAAATTTAGCAACGACAGAAGTTGCGGCAGATGTTGCAACAGGGGCCGATACCCAATGCATTTTGACCTTCAGAATTCAAAAAATGTATAACCGTCCAGATTTGACTACAAGAAACAAAGATAGAGCGATCAATTCAAGAAGTATGAAATGCTAAGACCATTACGTTACCTTTAAAATTTAGCAAAGACAGAGGTTGCGGCAGATCTATCAACAGGGGCCGATTCCTAATGCATTTTGACCTTCAGAATTCAAAAAAGGTATAACCGTCCAGATTTGACTACAAGAAACAAAGATAGAGCCAACAATTCAAGGAGTTTGAAATGCCAAGACCATTACGTTGCCTTAAAAATTTAGCAAAGACAGAGGTTGCGGCAGATCTATCAACAGGAGCCGAACCCTAATGCATTTTGACCGGCGCAATTCAAAAAATTTATAACCATCAAGATCTGACCACAAGAAACATAGATAGTGAGTGTCTCAGAAGACAACAAAACCCAAACACCACTTCCGTGTAATCATTCAAAATTATAGTTTGTAATCATTTGAGGAAATTTCTAAAAATTCCTCTAGAACTTCCATAGAGTATCTGAGAAATGTTCAAGAACCTTCAACACATTTCTGAAGGGTTAATAAAAGTCCATGTGGGTATCGGGTGTTTTACTTTTAATTAATAGGGCCAATTAACTCCAAGCATTAGACACCGACACCTTCCAATCAGCTTAATTTCACCTTGCAAAGCCAACCAGCAAACGGGTTTAACTCCCTCGGGAACCCATAAATCACCCGCAAGCATGCCTGGGACTATCACGCTTGGTCATCCCCCCAGTTAATAAAGCGGTATATTTTGCAGTGTTTCGGCAACCACGAGTTCGGGTATAAACCATCAGGCCTCTCGCCCTACCTAAAGGCGATCAGGTTTCCGATGCTAGCGTGCAACGTGGACTTCTCCGAAGAGCCGGAGCTGCAGTACTTCGATCTGCAGAAGTCGTGGATTTTCAACGTGGACGGAAGGTCAATCGGCGTAATCGGTTACGTCACGACGACCAGCGCGGACATGGGGTTTGTCGGGAAGATTAAGTTCCTCGACGAGATTCCGGCGGTTACGGCCGAAAGTCGACGGCTAGCCGAAGGGGGGATAAAGACGATCATAGCGCTGGGACATTCGGGTTTTGAGATGGATAAGCGAATCGCCAGGGAGGTGCCTTTGGTCGATCTGGTCATTGGCGGTCATACCAATACGCTTTTGTGCAATGGCATACGTCCAGATATTGAACAGTGCGCCGGTAGTTACCCGACCATTGTGACGCAGCCTGGTGGGAAAAAGGTTCCGGTTGTACAAGCGTATGCGTACACAAAGTATCTGGGACGCCTGAACGTTACCATCGATGATGATGGCCGCATAGTTGAATACTCTGGCTATCCCCAGTTGCTCGACGCCCACATTCCTCAAGATCCAGCTGCGATAGCTCTACTAGACCGGTTTCGCAAAGAAATAGATGCCGCTGCAAGCAAAATCGTGGGGTACAGTACATCAGTTCTAGGGGGTGAGATAAAGAAGTGTCGCTACGAGGAATGCACTTTAGCAAACTTGGTCACGGACGCTTTCGACTCTTCCTATGGAAGCAACGCGTATGCAATGATCGGCGCGAAGTCTTTGTACCACGACATAATCCCAAAGAAAAATGGCAGCATCACCCTGCTAGATCTTCTCAACGCCTTTCCGTTCGCGGGAAACGTTTACAGCGTACAACTGACCGGTTTGCACATATGGAAAACGTTGGAGATTGGCGTGAGGAGCAATGGAGAAACCACCGGCTCCGAGTTTGTGCACACCTCCGGAATTAGGTACAAGTTCAACATGACCAAGCCAACCGGCCAAAGGGTTGTGGAGCTAAAGGTACTTGTCGACGGTCAAACGTGGCAGAATATTGATTACAGCGCCATCTACCAAATCGTAACCACGCAACTGATGATTGACGGTGCAGATAGGCACAAAGTCTTTGCGGTCAAAGGGCGGAATATCACACAATTACCATTTAATGACACTGAAATATTATTGAGGTATTTCAAGAAACATTCCCCGGTTACCGTTAACCTGGATGGAAGGGTTGAGCGAGTCGGTTAATGAAACGACTGGAATGGAAGACGCTTACATAATTGTTCCTTTTGTAAATGACATGAATTGAATTATATTTTAGTAATGTACTTATTTAATGTTAGATTAGAAGGGCACACGCTTTTGAAAAACATGTATTTCAAGAGCCTTTCTATAAGATCTACAGATTTCTGACAAGGTAGGTCATTTTTCGTTGTAAGTTGACTTAAGGTAAGTTCTAGATGCATGATAGGGGTTTATGGGCGACTCCGTGTATCGAAAAAGGGTTTAGGCTAAAGTCTGAAACCCAAAATTCAAAATTCGGATGAACATTTCTGGAATAATAGTCAGATTTTAATGTTGCTGTTATCATTTAAAAGATATGCGAGGCCAATCTTTTAAAGAAAAGTTTCTCACATATCAACCATTTGAGTCTCATACAGTGTGTTTCAAATAAACGCCGCAAATTCAGTTGCAGAGTACACCAAGGAATGATTTTAAGAGAACTTTTTAGAAACACAGAGACACTTCCCCAATGGCGTCAAACTTTTACAATCCAACTACTTCCAGGTGTTCGATTACAAAACCTCTGGATTGTTGTATTCAATACTCATTAATTTTTCAGTAAATGGCTGAATTCTGAAAAGTTTCAATTCAGAAGCACAATTTCAAAATGAGCACAACATTAATTCATGTTAAAAATTAATGAGTGCGAGTTTCTAGATTAATATTAAACATTTTGCTTACGCCTAAGATACTGTTGTATACGATATATATATAATATTTTGAATAATAAAATTTTATCATCCTAATTAATATCGTTATTAAGTAAAGTAGAGGCCTAGAACTCTCGGAAGTTTATTTTCAATATTTGGCGACCGTGACAGGACCCTGGGTTTGTGTAAAATCTCACCGCAATAACATTGTTAAAATTGTAGGCTGATTTTTAAACGATTTATGTATCTTTTTCGTTTGTACGGCTCCGCATTGAACCATATGGACCGGGCAGCGATTTGTAGGGCGTTCACGATGATCACAAATAAGTTGACTGGGATTTTATTTATTTTATTTATTTATTATCCCTCTCTTGTGCTGGGTCCTCAACAGGAATCATTACAGAATGACCAGCATAATGCCATCCTTTGCAGAGGATAGGTGCTAATAATAGAAATTATAAATAATTCGCTAACATATAAAGGTAAAATTCATTTTTCATTTACATACGGTTGCTGGTAGTCCCATTAAAGGGAATCATCCAAAAAAATAAAAATATTGAGCTGCAAGGACCATGAGCACGACCCCTTGTAGTGGATAAATATTAAGAGCAATAATAACAGAAAATTAAAAAAAAGAGTAGTTTGTGAAGAAATAAGGGTACAATATATTTTATTTGTATTTTCTACATGACAAAAATGTCCCCCCCCCCCCCCCCCGAGTGGCACAAATACCAGCAGCAAAATGAGTTAGGGAGGGTTCCGTTCACTTGACCCCTCCCAGATATATTTAAGGATAACCAAAAAAACAAAAATGGCGCAAAGATATCTTTTACGGCGCATTTTAGCGCATACCTAGGAGTACAATTTCGTATGAAAAAATGTTAAAAAAAGTAACTTTAAAAAACGTTAAGTTGCCCCCCATCCCTACACTTTTTGAAAATTTGTCATGGCGCAATTGAAAGCATAACCAAATGTTTCTATCAGGTAGTCAAGGTAGCAGCACAAAATACGTACTGGAGGGAGGGGGATACGTACACTTGGCTCCTCCTAAATGTATTTTTGGATTTCTATAAAACGATAATGGCGCAAGAGTTTTACCGGTGGTGCATGTGAGCGCATAATGAGCGCATTAATTTTAAAAAAATACGACTGTCAATCTCTAGGTTGGGGGGGGGGGGGTCAAATTTACGAACCCCTTAATTAGAGAAATTATTTTATTTTATTCAGGATTTCGGTTTAAAATTGCAAATTTTTTAATTATTACGACGCGCGAATACCTGTTCTCTCCTTTCGGAAAAGTAGAAAAAAATTAGAGGTGTTTTTTTTAATTCGAAACGCACATTCTCAACTTTCCTAACTGAAACGAGATATGAATATCCAATTAAATTGGTTACTGGTACAATCCCTTGAAGTCCTAGAAGGCAATTATGTAAGTGGAACACACATATTCTGTGAGGTTACTTTACAGTTTCCATGCATTTGAAATTATTTGATTACCGAAGCTGAATTCGTTCGAATAAAACCAACAGAAATCGGATATTTCCCTTATAAGCCATCTGCATCCCCTTACTACACAGTGTTCCTAATGATCAATTAACGGAGGCGTCGCTAAATTTCAACGTCGGAGTTATTAGCTCAATTTTATTATTCTTCGTTCGCAGCGATCTCGCATATTTGTTGCTAATCAATTTAGCTTTAAAATTAACGCACAAACGCATAATAAACCACTCAATCTCCCGCTCGTACTCCTCAGGTGAACGTAAAATAATGCTGCAGCGGCACCAACAACAGCTGCCTGTAAACAGCTGCTTATTTAAATGAAGGGGAGCGGCAAACACATTTAATATCGACAAGAAATGAGGAACAGCGTATCTTTTTTTTTTCAATTCAGCCACATGCCGTAGCCTTGTCCTTATTCGATCCATTAGTAAAAGTCCCAGGGAGGAATTCACGTGGTGACGTTCTTGAAACTTCTTGCACTTGAAATTTTGGCCTGCTTCGTTCCGCACGTTTAGTCCGTAAAACTTCACTCACGTGGTGCGTTGGATTAACAAATTCATGTTTTGCGTTACTTATTAAAATGAAGTGCCCCAAACAGAACGAGCGGAGGAATAAACGGTCGAGGGTAAGTGAATAATTTAAATTCCATTCCGATGCGAGCATGACACGTTTGTTAAGCACCCAATTTTCTACCTATACTCATCGTGAAAAGTACAAATTATTGGTTTTTCATTACATATACCTTTCACGATTTAAAATTCATCTTCAGTTGACCCTCCACGGTCATCGAAACAAGTGGATTTTTATTACATCCAATTGTACTTCAATTGTGCTTTGATAGAGGTGCACTCCATTCTTTCCTAGGTTGATCCTGAAAAATTGGATTTGGTGATTTCGGGGTGTTGTTAGGCTTTTTAAAAATAAATTAAAATAGTTGTATGCGCACAGTGCAAAATAATAGAGAATTTATTTACAAGAAAAATACTTTGGAACTTAAAATCAGTCAAAACAGTAGCTTTCGATCATTTTAAAGGGAGCTCTTTAAAACAATTTATTTTACCTTTACCTACACTATCTCGCATTCAGAGTTAAATAGCTAGAAAAAGTACTTTTAAACGTTGTCCCTACTGAAGAGATTGCAGAGTTGAGACAAATTAATCTCAATCCTTTAAAAAAGCCTTTTTCAGGATCAATAGATTTTCCTTTAAAGAAATCCCTAATTTGTGAACAGGATTTTTGTATGGGGGAGGAGGGGGGGTGATATTAATTGATTATTATTTATTATTAATTGATCTAGCAGAGAAACCAATTTCGAATAAAACATTCAAAGGGCTGTAACTTTTGAACTAGTAGCCGAAACCTGGAACTGTTTGAAATTATGGATTCTACAGGCCACATTCTATAAGAAAATTTTTTTTCCGGGTCGATCTGAGACAATTTTTTTTTCGTGGCTCAAAAAAAGGCAGGTTATAACCTTCCTTTTTTTTTACCAAAAATCGACTGCCCCAAGATTTCTCGGGAAAACACCTTTTCTTATTAATTTTGGTGCGTAGAATCCAAAACAATTCGTACTTTTTCGATCAGACTTCTCAATCAAAAGTTATAGACTAGAAACCAATTTCGAAAAAAAATTCAAATGGCTGTAACTTTTGAACTAGTAGCCCAATCTTGGAACTGTTTCAAATTATGGATTCTACAGGCCACATTCTATAAGAAAAATTTTTTTCCGGGTCGATCTGAGACAATTTTTTTTTCGGAGCTCAAAAAAAGGCAGTGTATAACCTTCCTTTTTTACCAAAAATCGACTGCACCAAAATTTCTCGGGAAAACACTTTTTCTTATTAATTTTGGTGCGTAGAATCCCAAACAATTCGTACTTTTTCGATCAGACTTCTCAATCAAAAGTTATAGACTAGAAACCAATTTCGAAAGAAAATTCAAAGAGCTGTAACTTTTGAAATAGTAGCCCAATCTTGGAACTGTTTGAAATTATGGATTCTACAGGCCACATTCTATAAGAAAAATTTTTTTCCGGGTCGATCTGAGCCAATTTTTTTTTCGTGGCTCAAAAAAAGGCAGGTTACCTTCCTTTTTTACCAAAAATTGACTGCACCAAAATTTCTCGGGAAAACACTTCTTCTTATTAATTTTGCTGCGTAGGATCCAAAACAATTCGTACTTTTTAGATCAAACTTCTCAATCAAAAGTTATAGACTAGAAACCAAAATTTCGAAAGAAAATTCAAAGGGCTGTAACTTTTGAACTAGTAGCCGAATCCTGGAACTGTTTGAAATTATGGATTTTACAGCCCACATTCTATAAGAAAATTTTTTTTTCGAGTCGATCTGAGACAATTTTTTTTTCGTGGCTCAAAAAAAGGCAGTGTATAACCTTCCTTTTTTACCAAAAATTGACTGTCCCAAGATTTCTCGGGAAAACACTGTTTCTTATTAATTTTGGTGCGTAGAATCCAAAACAATTCGTACTTTTTCGATCAGACTTCTCAATCAAAAGTTATACCAATTTCGAAAGAAAATTCAAAAGGCTGTAACTTTTGAACTAGTAGCCCAATCTTGGAACTGTTTGAAATTATGGATTCTACAGGCCACATTCTATAAGAAAATTTTTTTTCCGGGTCGATCTGAGACAATTTTTTTTCGGGCCTCAAAAAAAGGCAGTGTATAACCTTCCTTTTTTACCAAAAATCGACTGCACCAAAATTTCTCGGAAAAACACTTTTTCTTACTTAGCCTCTCAGCAAACGTGGTTGTATTGCCCTAGGACTACTGGAACCAGATTGGCTCCTAGCCAGAATAGTAGGAGCTCGAAGTCAACTCCGCCATCCATCCCGACACAACCGCCACCTTCCTCCATCAAATGCTTCTGGAGGTCGCATTTCGAAGGGCGGCATGTTATACAGGGTGTTTAGAAATTCGCGCACACGGACTATGGGATGGTGTTATACGACAAAAACTGAAGAAAAAGTTCCTCCACACCATCCCACAGTCCGTGTGCGCGAATTTCGAAACACCCTGTATAAATTCACGTGAATAATTTCGAGTTCTTCCGAACCTTTTTATTATAATTATAAACTACAATATGATCTTCCCACAGGGAGGGTGTCCCAGTTAAGGGTAATCAAATAAAGAAATCAAAATATTTGGTGTGTAGCATGGATCGCTCCTTTTTAAGGATATAAGAAAAGCTACTATTGTTACTCAGCTACGTATACTGTCAATCCAAAAAGTTACAGGCTAAAAACTATCTCGAGGATCGGTTGTATTGGATGTTTAATTGCCCTTCTGTGATCTGTCCGTTCGTCTGTTCCTCGATTAACTGGAGAACGAAAAGAGGCAGCGATGTCAAACCTTCGCCAATCGATTTCTACGAGTTCAAGGATCAGTGCTATTGAATATCAGCCGGATTAAAAGTCTGATTTCCGAATGCGAGCTAAGTGGCAAAAAATCCGCTACTGAAAATCGATGCGATTCTTCGTATCTTGTTCTACCAGAGATTGACACGCACTTCGTTAGTTAATCAAATCCGTTTTTCTTTTCCTAAAATATGGAATAAATTTGTTACAAGAGGCCAAATAGTTTTTAGATTTAGGAGTTTTTTCGAAATTTTTAACGTTACGAAACAAAGTCCTTTTTGTAAAGCAAACGACACAGAGCAATTTGTATACGGGGCGGTGACTTGACGAACGTACCATAGGAATTTCAAAAGTAATTTTTTAATTTCCTATTATTGGCTCTCCCTCAATTATTTTAGAAATAAAGTCTTTTTAGAAAAATAGAGAATACTATTGTTTCCTATTTTATAAATTCAGAAACAGTAAAATTTTAAAAATGATAATCGGTGGCGTTTATAAAATCGGTAATGCCATGGAATTATGAAATCTCTTTGTTTGATCCTGGCACCACTGATTTTCTTAAAAGTTTTTAAGTTGTCCAATTTCTTGGTTTCAGATTTAAAAAAATTAAAAACTATAGTATGCATGGATTCGTAATTTTCTTCTCTACAAAAAACCTAAATAGACTTTGTCTCTAAAATAATTAGGGAAGCTAATAATCAGAAGTGAAAAAAATACTATTGAAATTCCACCACTGTTCCAAAAATTTATGCAATGTGTTCAAAAATTCATGCTAGTTATCAGATTTTAGAATGTGGAAATTTAATGTTTATTTCGCCTATGGAGGCTTAAAATAAGGGGAGCTTGTAATGATCTGAAACATGAAATTCCCGTCCTTTTTTTAATTTTAAGTTAAAATTAATTTCATCTTAGTGGTTAAAAGTATCATCACACATTTCTGTCTTTCCGTATACAGGGTGACTATACTTCTTTGTGTATATTATGGTTGCGGGGAATGAAAACACGAACTATGGAACTCTTGCGTTGACAGCTGTAAAAGGGAACATTTGTGACCCTCGGTTGCTATGGGAACAAAATGCTAATTTTGGTCTCGTCTGCAAACCAATTTTTTTACATATCTATATATTGTAACGTGATTTCTAAATTCGGGTTCGATTTATATCAATATTTATTAAACAAAACTAAAACACTATAAAAACTGTACAATTTATATCGACTATTTATATCACACACCTAGCAATTTATATCAGATTTTCGCGCTCAATGCTTTATCCGTACTCGATCTCGTTCGGTAGTAAAACTCCCCGCGATGTTCGGTCCGCAACCACTTATACACGCAAGCAATGTAAGTCCAGAACACTCGCGTAATTACCAGATACGTCGCAAACATTCCCACTATCGCACGCCTAGAAAAGTCCAGAGCGCCAAAGGCGACGTCACGTCTGGAGCATTTCCGTTACAATATATAATTGCAACTTACCCTTTACCTCAAAATTGACCCTTTGGCAATAAACGCTAATTTTTTGGGATTTTAAACTACCCCTTATTGTCAATACATATATAGCACTACAAATTGATTCCTATAACAGATGGAAATAAGTTCAAATAAGTGTTAATAATGGTCATTTAATACTAAACATTATTTCTGATTTTACATTCTTCAAAACCACCTCATAATTTTAAAAGAATTACCTATCAAGTTGCTGGCATTTTCAGTTAATTTACTTGTCAATTTTATATAAGGGTAGTTAACCGTTTATTGTAAAAAAAACATAGATATGGCATGCCTCTCAGCAACTTCTTTGCAGCTGGATTTGTTGGAAGTGTGAGCCTCCTTCCTCTATAGGTTGCTCATTAGCAGGTTACTCAACCACGCCCTCTTCTCCTTCGCATTGAGTGCTTTCCTGGTTTAAGACAATAAATCTGACAGTAAGAAGCCCTGATTCGTTTTCGGACCCTGAAACAAATTCGGTTACCAAGACTATTCTGTATATAAAGAGTTGCTGAGGAATTATTAATTTTTAATGAAAGTACAAGCGTCTACAGCTACTAATTAGTAATAAAATTTAAAAAAATCTAATTACAGTCACCAATAAATAAAATAAAAAAGTCTTAATGGAAGGCAATAAATAACTACTTTATTGAGTCTAAGTTTAGTGTGCAATAAAGTGGAGATGTAGATGCCTTGCAAATTACATGCTCAGCGTAACGTTTCCGTATCCAAATTGCACGTTCCCCCACGATTTTATTGT